AGCCAGACAAACAGCTCCGTGATATTCCAAGAAAGCTCCAACGTTCAAGAGAAAAGTCTGTAGCCATGCAGTGTCTCATTCCCTGAAGATCCTTGAGCCAAGCAGACACTTCACAGGTCCTGCAGACTCGGATACTGCTAGACCCATCAGTACAGAGCAGTACCCTGACAACCGCTATTCCTCTGGTGCTTTTTTTTTAACTAGGAGTGCTACATATATTGCTGCTCCTGGCTTTGACATGGCTACTTCCCCACTTTGTCCCCAAATCTACCATTGACAGGCTTGTAGATTTCTCCTCTTTGTTCCAGCCACTCCCCACACTGTGCCTCCCAGTGCCCTGGCACCTACCAGTTGGCACCTACTGGAAGAACTCACAGTAGACAGGCCTGTCCAGAAGATACCATGCCTCAGCTCTTCAACAGTACATGCAGACAGAAGCCAAACTAAATGTCCAGGTCCTTGCTGAAGAAGCCAGGAACAAGGCTGCATGGTTTTCCACCAACAGCCAAGCTAAGGGTAACAGAGAACAGGAACTCCAAACCACAAGAGACACTGGGTAAGAAGACTGCAGCTTGCTTTGCAGGCAGCTGTGCAAGCAGCTGTCACTACTAAGAAAGCTGAAAAAAGGAGCAGCAGAGTTAGGAAGAGATCTGCCCCAAGCTGCTGCTCCCTAAGCCAGAAGTGCTGCAGTCACCTCATTGTCCTGAATTTCTCTGGAACCCAATGGGGTTTCTACCATGCAATGCTTCCATTAACACACCCCTCCAAATGTGGACAAGCAGCACAGCCTCCCCTCCCACTGTCCCAGTGCCTCCTGTGCCCAGCGTGTGGTATCAACACAGTAGCAAACGGCACCAGCTACACCTCCAGTCTTGTAGGGAACTATGGGGTGATTCCCTGGAATATCTCCTAGATGTTCCATATCTCTGAGGCTCTATCTCCCTGACTGAGCGGTCTTGTTTCTGCTCTCTGCCTTCCCTCTTTAAAAAGAGATGCTCAGTTCTGCTTTGCTAAACCCTATTTGGCAATGTGTCTAAACACACACAAACTTAATTAGTTCAGGAGGGAGACTCGGCATTTGCGGTGACGGATAAAAGTAATGGGAAATGAGACAAGTCAGAGCTGGCAGGGAGTCCTCACTCAAGCCTCATTCACTGGCATGGCGCTAATCAGATGTGACGCTACACGCTGCGGTACCCAATCGGCGGCAGAGCGGCGTGATGCGCTACTCACCAAGTGACTGCAGCCAGACTCCCGCTATCCATGTGGTCGGAAACAGGAAATGTATTTTCTGCTTTGCCCTGGAGATGCTTCAGGATTGAATTCTGAAGTTAATGGTTTAAAAAAAATTTTTAAAAGGAAGAAGGAGAAATGAACCACTCACTGCAACCTCATGGTCAGGAGTGGAGTCTTCTTTTCCAGCTGACTAGTGAGGCACAATCCATGCGAGAGACCACTGCAAATGGCGAATTGAGTATCTCTGCTCCAGAACTGTATGTTCTGCTGAGCCAGCTCACCCCACCACCCCTAATGCTCACGAGAAATGGTGCTCATCTTTACCTCTGTTTGCCTACTGTAGAGCTCTGAAGCAAAAAACACCACCACTTTGTTATCCCACTGTGAAAGCAATGGAAAGATGGGCTTTGAGCAAAGATAACTCTGTTCCTCACAATCATCACCAAAAGTGGTAAACTGGACTCTCAGAACAGCAATACAGGAGTAAAGAACTGAGAAAAGAGAACAGATGAAAAACAGAAGTTTAGCACATCCCTGCAGCTGTCTTTGTGATGGTCTCTAATAGAAGTTTAAACATGATACAGAAAGAAAAGTAAGCCTCACTCTTAATTTAAACCAGTAACACAGGAATTGGCAATATATACCACCTCTGGACACAGCCCCAGCAGAGACCCAGATTTTGACTCAAAAGCTCGCATACCTCACCCCTGTCTGGGACATAGCAAATTTCTTATCTCCACTAGCACTTGTGCTCCAGCTTCGGTCCTCATATCTCATGTCTCATTAATCACACCAAGAAGAGGCAAGGAGCTGCCACTCTACAAAGACCATTCTGCAGGGGAGAATTGGTGCTGATTGCTCCCAGGCTGCATGTAGTTTATTCAGGCTTCTGACTTGGGGAAACCAATGTCACAGTGAAAACCAAGTAACACTACTAACGAGTTGTGGATGTCAGTATAGCATTGGATGTGTCAAGCCCATGCTTTGCTGGTGTGATAACAACAGGAGTCTTTATCCAGCACTCTGAGGAAATGAAAAGCTGAAGCGAGATTATAGGAATTCAAGAGAATTTAGCACAATATGACACTGATCTGCAAACACCTTACTGATTGGACTAACCTAATTCTTAGAAACTTAACTCAATTTTTTTAAATAACATTTTTAGGTTGGTGGTCTAGCTAGTTTTATAACAAAACACACACATACACTGACACTTGCAGATGCCAGTGCAGGTCCCCACCTGGTACTCTCCATATAGTCACTCAGCTGATGAAGATGACCTTAATGATAAGAACACCCATGAAGCATGCCAGACCTGGCTTGTACTCTCTTTCCAAAAACTATGCTGTGATTCACATCCAGTTAGTATGCCAAGATGACAGAGAGAAAGCCTTGCATGCAGAAGTCAGGTAAGGACTATTACTTGATTTGGGTGTACAGAAACAGAGTTCCATGTATGCACTCAGAAATATCCATCCCTTTGGAAAGCCTATTGGATAAAAGGGAAAACACCACAAAGCTCCAGTTTAAACCTTTCTTGGGGTTCTGAAAGGATTCATTCGCTATATGGAATATCCTAGGCAGTGATCCTGCACTATGCCCAGCAACTACCTGTCTTCTTAAACAACCCTCCACTCCCAATTATGCATGGCAAACAATGGTTTCTCTAAGAAACAAAGACTAGGGACAGTCGGAGGCTTGTAATGACAAAGACGTATGCACTACAGGCAAGGATGGAGCAATAAAGCCCAGAAAAATCTCCCTCCCCGTCCATACTCACATCACTTTCAAATCCCAGTCTCCACAGGTCACAAAAATCGACTTGACGCTGGGATCTAAGAGGCCTTCCTTCGCCATCCACTCGTCAACCCTCTGAAAGGAAGGCAAGAAAGGGGGATGAGTTTTGCAGAGACAGGCCGAGCCACAACAGTTAAACTCAGATAAGCTGCTTGCAATCAAGAGAGAAGAAAATTGTGATCTTATCCACTCTCTCCCTCTCTCTCTTCTCTCTTTGCTTGCCATCTCAACAACAGCACGTTTGGACCTTTGAAGATTTCTGATAGAAGACATCAGGCAACTAGAGCAGAGATGATCTTATCAGACACCGCAGCAGCTCTGCTCATGGAGGGATGGAAGTTGTGCAGCATTAATGGGACAATACAACTGCACTGTTACCTAGCATTCCTCCTCGACTTTTCCTCTCCCTGTACCAAATGGGCTCGTAGCAAGTGTAACTTGTGTCCCCTCCCATGAGGAGAAAACACAGGCATTCTGGGACAGTGTCCCTCACCTACAGCATTTCTTACATGCTCCAATTCATACAGCTCCAAGGGGACGCGGGAGAGGGGCAGAAATGGAAAGGCTGGGCACACACAGGCACTGTGCAGCAGTAACAAGCAAAGCCACACGTCCCCTTCCTCTCCAGGCTGGGTCTCTCTTTCCTCTGCACAGTTCTGAGAAGGTGCTTGCTCAGGCTACAGTGTGGATTTAAAGTGAATCCACTATTCCTGATCAGCTTCCCATAGGGACAGATGTTCTGGATCCACTTCAGAAACGGGCCATGTTAATCTGGAGGATGCACATCCACCTTGGAGATTAACAAGGCGGAACTAACCTAGACTAAAACCCTTGCATAGACACACACTCCAGGCAGAACTAGCAAATAACATGCCCAAAATCTTCCAGTGACGGGTGACAGGCAATCAGCTCCTATTACGCAGCCTCACTAGCAGCATTTCCAGTGCTTCAGCAAGAAAAATTCCTCCTCTTTTCCCTCGCTCAACACTTTCCGCTCCTGAATAAACTAGCATGCCCCAAAAGCTGCCTGAGCTCAATCTCATTTTAACCTAGAAACATGCTGCTGTATGAACACCTTTTCAGTCCAAATAAAGAAAAAAATCTACATAAATGTTTCCACAGAAGAAGTTCCCACAGAAACAGAATTAACCATTTTCTGTAATGCTCCAGCAGCAATGTACGTTCACTCATCCAGCCAAAGAGGGCTCTCCCTCCTGGGGAAGCAGGCACAAGCATCTGCTACGTGTACAGACACGTGCTGCTGCTACGTGCTCTCCAGAGAGCACCAAGGAGAGTTGGGGGTTTGCATGGATGCAAGATGTCACCTTCCAGAGTGCTGTCTTTGGCCTCGTGTCATTGCCGCAGCCTTTCTGGCAAAAGACGGCACTTCTTTCTGTGACCGACTGTACAACGGCTCTCTGGAGTGAAGCTCCCCCAAAAGCAGCATCCAGCGCCTCAGCCACACTTCTGTCTCCCTTGGGCTGCCGGGATCTTCCAGCCAGCCCCACACACAGCTCCCCAGAGCAAGGGACAGCAGCAGTGACCTTTCTAAACTCCCTGGTTGTGAGTGCCCATGAAGTGCTGTCTCCATGGAGGATTTTAAAGCCTTTAATTTGACTTCCTCAAATAAGCAATTGTTGCATTTATTCTGACTAGGAACAATTAGGTAACACAGCAGTGGAAATCCTGACAGAAACAACACATCGAACACCAACCTGCAGCCCAAGCGGGCTCTGCTTGAGGAGGTTTCCTTCACTATTTAACTACCAACAAAAGCTATTGATGGAGAAATAGTTCCAAGCTAATTAAGCCCTAAATGCTGTAGGAATTCAACATTAAGCAGATGGCATTATTAGGGCTATATCTGCATTCGTACATCCTCCTGATTAGATTTTAGAGGCGTTTTCTTTCTATACTACATGTGTTATTGAGCATTTAAATAGGTAGAAAAAATTAATTTAATAAAGTGCTGAGGGAGGGGAAAGAAAACGAAGGCAGAAGCTCCTGGAGCAGTGGTCTCGAGCAATGTCTTGGTGCTTTAAAACTGGCTCAAGCAAGAATCGCCTTTTCTCCTATCTACTGGCAGGAGTTTGGATATCTTGTCAGCACCCTTGACGTGAACAGCTGGAGATGACAGATCAATGGTTCAATACTCTCAGCAGTGTGTCACCAACGTGACAGCAAATGTTATTCTAATGAAGCTGTAATCATAGTCAAATTACGCGGTTCGATTCTCACCAAGGGGAGGGTGCAGGGAAAGAGATGAAGAGAGGACGACAGGACCAGAGGTCAGAGTTCGGGAACTAAAGGTTACTCTGCTTACCTCAAGCACTTGCTGGAGGCTCGGCTGCCCATCCACCATGCCTTGAATAATCCCAGTCAGCTGAAACGAGACACAAACAGAAAACAGGCGTCAGAGCAGCACTCAAAAGATCATTAGAGAGGTCTCCTCTCCTGTCCATCTTCGCTGCAACCAAAACATGCTCCTGTGACCCACATGGACATTGCTGAGGAGCCAGCCACAGCAGAGTGACCCTCGCAGCTCCTCAGCCCCGGGCAAGGGCACAGCTTCATCCCAAACACAGAAACATAGGGGTGCTCCTACGCACACCATAAACCAGCAAAGTCAGCAGGGCCGGATCCACCTGGGGAGCAGTGGTGCCCGCTGCTTCATGTACCAGCACAATGCCCAAAATGCTGCCCTCCTTCAACAGGTACTTCACCAGCTTTGATGTTGCTTTGACTTACACAGGCAGCAGTAACTACCAGGGTCTCTGGTCAATCCCCTGCCATCACCAAATTGCACAGTGTTAGACGAACAGAATAGACCACTACCGGGAAGTGAGACTCAGAGAGGACCCAGTCATCCTCCCCTGCACTGGGCAGCCAGCACGCGTGCTTTCCCATAGTCCATCACAGCATCCCTCTGCATTTTGAAATTGTATTTAAAACAACTGAATGAAATCTGAAGAAAACCACTTTCTTCCAGAACGCTGTTCTACTCTCTTTTTCAGGAGGCTCCTTAGGAACAGGTCCTGCCAACCGAGAGTCCTACTGACTGTACCCGGACCGCTTGGCTGTTTAAAGCTAGACACACACATAAAAAGATGAAGTCTCATGGGCCTCTGCCTGTGTCTGCCCAGGATAGCTTGAGGCACATGGAAAATAGATAATTTTTCTGTCTGCCTTCCAACTGACAAAACTGTCTTTTAACATACTGAATATCGGAGGTCAGTAGCTTGCCATCAATGCACCCAAGTAATTAAAAAAATCATTATTAAAACAAGTGCACACTACAGGATTTCACTTCATATGGCACTTTCCTGAAGCTACACATCTCACACGTTTTCATAAAATAAAGGTCAAACACAGCCCAGGAACATGCCCTGCTGCCTGCACATGTATCCAAGCCTCCAGAAGCCATAGCATCCAGTCGAGAGGTGCTGACAGCCCCCCCACCACTCAGGAGTAACTCTTCCATGCAGACCAGCTCAACCTACTCGTAAAACATAAGCCCTCTCACAAACCACAGGGCTCCGCTTTATTAAATGTGTGGCAACTGCAAGAAGCTCAATGGTTTCCACCTCTCCATTTCTTTGGCTGCTTGGCTTAGAGCACTGAACTCGGAGGATGGGGGAAAAAAAAAAAAAAAAAAAAAGAGATTAAACTCCAATTAAACTGTAATTACATTTAATGAATACCAAATACCTGACTCACTGAATAAGCTGTAAGTGGAAAGATTATTTTCTCATAGTGACTTCCATGGAATGGTAATATATACCTTTTAGGGAAAGTATTTTAATTTTAAGAATGCAGAGTTCCTCTAGGTGGGTTTCTCAAGTTCATCAAGACATTATGAGGTGGAATTTAAGAAAGTGGAGGGACACAGACACTCTTTGATATTCCAGAAACTGTTTTTATATTAATCTGCATTTTAATTGAGTAACAGCTGCTACCTACAGAATGCCCATACTCTGAGAGGCAAATAGATTTCAGATTAACGCACAGCTCTTTAGACCAGTTTTTAAAGCTCGCTGGCTTTTTTTTTTCCTTTTCTTGCCATCTTTCTCTCCATGCATTCGCCTGGCAGAGGTGCACAGCCCACCTACTGCAAAGTGCTGGCTCTGCCTCTCACAGGGCAACTCCAACCAAACCTCTGGAAGTGACTGAAAGATGAGCTTTTGGGAGAGGATCATAGAATCACAGAATAGTTTGGGTCGGAAGGGACGTTTAAAGGTCATCCAGTCCAATCTCCCTGCAACGAGCAGCGACATCTTCGACTAGACCAGGTTGCTCAGAGCCCAGTCCAACCTGACCTTGAATGTTTCCAGGGATGGGGCATCTACCACCTCTCTGGGCAACCTGTTCCAGTGTTTCACCACCCTCGTAGTAAAAATTTCTTCCTTATATTTAGTCTGAATCTACCCTCTTTTCATTTAAAACCATTATCCCTTGTCCTGTCGCAACAGGCCCTACTAAAAAGTCTGTCCCCATCTTTCTTATAACCCTCCTGTAAGTACTGAAAGGTTGCAATAAGGTCTCCCCAGAGCCTTCTCTCCTCCAGGTTGAACAACCCCAACTCTCTGAGCCTTTCCTCATAGGAGAGGTGCTCCAGCCCTCGGATCATTTTTGTGGCCCTCCTCTGGACCCACTCCAACAGGTCCATGTCTTTCCTGTACTAAGAATGACAGCCAACCTTTCGGTATCACGGCCAGCACTGATGTAAATGGCTTCATCTGCTTTGGGCACTTTCAGGACTGCATCTGTTCAGCACCGCACCCCTGATGGCCATGGGAGGACAAGGTGAAATGGCCTCATCCAGACATTTCCCATCAGGAGGAGGGAGAGATGGGGGGAAGGTGGACGCAGAGGTCCCAAAGAGTCACCGCTTAATCTTGCCTAAGACTCCTTCCCTCCTTCCCTGCCAGGTCAAGCAAAGTACCAACTTATCCATATAAGAACACATCACCAAGCACACAGGCACGCAAGATTCATCTGCAGAAATCACACATGAATTCAAATGCATATACCTGCTCCACGGGTATATTTCAATACAGGTCAGAGAGTGCTCAAAAGGGACCAGATTTCTACTCTCTCATCCTTTCTGTTATCAGTATGTCCATCTGTAACACCCAATCTAGCGCATTGGGTCTCCGCAGCATTATCTGGTCTTGCAGCTTTGATAAAGCATAAAAACATAAAACTGCACAATTGTAAAGTTTCACTGGCGATCCCAAGAAGCACATGGTACTTGGGAACATAAACAAGCTATAAGGCATTTATCTTTTTGTACTTTTATTGTCTGTTCCTTCAGGAAAAAAAAAATCAATAAAAATTAATCACAAAAAGAGAGCAAAGTACCATTAAAAAGCCTGTACAAGCACCTTCTGTGCAGAGGGAACCTTTCGCTTAAGCTGCTGGCATGAACTTTCTTGGGCATCAGACACTTGCATCTTCCAAAGGGACATGATGAGCTTTATACACCTAACAACAGCTTTTAACCACTTGCAAGCACTTTCCACCTTCTCTGTCTAACTGTTCAGCACATCCCTCATCATAACCAAGCCTCACGACCTGTTGTTTTACAGAAGCAGGTCAAGAGAAAGGGGACCAGACAAGGGCTACAGAGTGAGCCAGCACTGGAAGATGTGCTCCTGGCCATTGCTGTGGGGAGTCAGAGTAAAGTCCTGTAGCCAGGGGAGAGCACAGACACACCAGAACCTAAGCAAAGGGATGCCTTGAGGGTGACCACGAGCTCTCCACCCTTCCAGAGACCCTTCCAATATTGTGCTGCCTTCAAGAAAAAAAAGGGATGTGAGAGGTACTCCAGATCCAGCGAGTAATGTCTAGCAGTCCTGATAATCCTCCCACATACAGTCTATACCAAGCAGTCCTATCGCTTGCTGGCAAAGGCAGCGAGTGGAGGGAAGAGAGGAAAGTAGCAGCACAGCAGTCAGGCTCCCGTGTAATGTCAACACCACTGCTTTTCCTACAGAGTTTATCTGGGAAACCATCGTATTTCTACTCCAAGACAGTTTGCTGATTATCTAAGCACTTGTCTCTCGTGTACAGTCTGATAATCAGGTCTGGTCTTTCTTTGTAGACAAAGAGGCCAATAAATCTCACCCCTTCTAAGCAGAGGTGCCTAGACAAAGCCCTTTACTGGCATTTATCAAAATGGGTATTTTTCAGAAAACATAAAGCAGCTGAAAGTCAATGGCAAGCACTGGAGCTGCACCAGCAGGAGCTCCGCAGGAGCTGGACACACAACACATCCCGGCTGTGTCCCTTTGGGTCTCACGGGAACCTCAACAAGCGGCACAGGGCTGACCCCTGCACCTGCCCAGCAGGAGACACTGACCCTACAGGTCTCTACGAGGCCACCACAGCCTCCACTAAAAAGCAGTGCAAATACGAAAGGATATTTTTTGCAACTGTTTAGTAAGGTCCCCAGTACGACCAGCTCACCTGTGGCTCTAAAGGCAGGGTTTCAAAGTCTGCCCCAGATACAGGGCGCAGGGACAGGCCCAGTTACCCCTCCAGCACAGTCCCACTCCCTGGACCTCACGGCAGCCCCTGCAACAGGCAGAACGACCATCAAGCCAGGAGGGATAGGGGCCACACTGTGCACTGAACAGCACGGGCACAGTGGGGGGTTGCCGAGGAGCCAGTGGCTTCCAGGCTAGGATTAAAACCAGCTCCCTAACTCACACTGTTAATAACAAAGAACTTGCCAAACATGGTAAGCTGGACCATTTTTCGCCACTGACACACACAGGTGGGGGTTCAGCGATCATTCTGCCTGCTGGCCTCAGCTCTGCCCATTTTTATCCAACTCTGGACACAGGACACCAGACCAAGGTCAGCAGCAGAGTCTGCAGCGCAACGCTGCAGCTGGGACACCCATGCCAATTCTGGGGACTCCTGCAAACACACGGTCAGCACACACACACGGCTTCACTTGCTCAAGGGCTCCACGCAGGAGACACAAACCTGTGGAGACACAAACAGCTGCTCCAGGCTCCAGTGAGCAAGAGAAGACAGAGAAACCAGCACTGCGGTGCAGGAGCATTAGATGGGCTGAATGTCTTGGTCCCAAGCTCAGCATCCAGAGAACCTCTCAATGTCCTCAGGCTGCTGCAGGCTGGAGACTCTGTTCAGTTCGAATAGCCACAACAAGCAAGTCACGCAGACTCTTATGGAAGAACCGAGCTGCAGCCTTTAGCGGTCGGGGGAAGGACGCACTAGAGTAATTTCCAGAAAAAGGAATTTTGGTGGGAGTTAATGAGGGAGGTGACTTCTCCCTAGAATTTAGACAACATGCAGAATGGATATTTTGAGTTCTACTCTAGAAGATGGCGTTGCTTTTAGCAGACATCAGGTGCAAGCTGTGAGATTTATCACATTTGTACAAGCATATGTCCAGCAAGTCTCATGGGGATAAGGACAGCCAAAGTAGTTGTCCAGCCTTCTAGCATTAAGGTTGCAAAACTGTTTCCATTATAACCCTCTGTTTTCACACATTTATAGCTTTCTGAAAGCCCCTCTCCTGGGAATAATGTTTTCTGTGCTTAGTTTTTTTTTTTTTTAAGTTTAAATAAAATACCTTCAGGTGTTTTTTAGTTACAAGAGAATAAAAAAAAGTATTTGTTTTTACAATGTGGAAATATAGATTGGGCTGGTTGGTCCTTGGAGGGGACTCCACCTAACACAGAGGAGTCATTTTCATCAAGTTAGTACACATGGGACTAGCACTTCAAGGGCTTAAGCCTGCAGACATAGGTCGGGGAAAACACACCATGAGGTCAATGATCCCAGATGAGATGGGGACACAACGAAGAACTTGGATACCCCAATTCCCACAGTCAGTGTTTTGGTCGCTGAGCTGGCTGACATCAAACCAGTGGAGTGACAGGGAAAAAAGCCCAAAGTAAAAGGAACTTAAACTTTGGTTTGATGCTTACAGCAGGGAGGAAGAATGCACTTGCAGAAACAGTTAACTTTTTGTGTTGAATGAAAAAACAAAAAACTACAAAACCCCAAAATACAACCCCTGCCTCCCTATTCCTTTGAACCTGCAGGGATCACATTTACCACCTTCATCCTCTTGTCTGTACTGGGGAAAGGTGGCCGCAGCTTGAGAGCAGCTGTTCTCGGCAATGACAGTAACCAAGTAACAAGAGACCACTTCTCCAGCAATCATTTTAAGTGCCCCACAAGCACAGTATCAAAAGCAAGCCTTAACAATATGGACACGGGTTATCCTACCACTCTGAAGGACTCCAAATCCCAACAGGTAGGCCCACGGGAGAGTCATTTAGAACCTCTGAACCATGCAGCCATACCACACTTTCCTTCCGCGGACCATGCTCTCTTTGACCTTCCCCACCAAAGAGCAGCATGGCAAAATCACGAAGAGCTCACAGAGAGGCTACAGGATTTTGAGCATGAGCTAACATGACTGCTTCTATTTTGTGGTCACCCAGTTAGACGTTCATTAGTCGTAAATACAGCTATCTTAGTTAGCACATCATGGCTAGAGTTATTTATGAATCCAAACTGAGGTCTTTACATCCTACTGCAATGACAAAAAATTATTCCCCTTGTCTTAACTCAAGGCTGGCATGACACGCTGCCTTGTAGCCGCACCGTGAAGAGGTGATCCCAACCCCTGGTGCAGTGGAAACCTGCTTCCCAGGGAGACTTGGAGCACAGGGAACCTTTGCACTTTACCTCTGTACAGAAGGGCGTAAGCTGGGGATGCACCACAGGCTGAACATACATGTGAAAGGTGGATTCGATCTCCATTGTCCTGCCATTCAGCTTCAGGATAGGGAATTCGATGATTTCCTGAATAGGGCAAAAAGAAAAGCAGCTGTTCATTTAAAACCAACAAAAAATGAAGCTGGAAATGATCCCACCTAGCAAGCTGGTTGTAAAAAGAGGGGTCTGACAGTCCCAAACCAAAACAAGCCCAACACAAAGTTCTGCAATACAAGTGAGAAAGTGGTGCCAGAGCACATCCAACGCCGTGAGCACAGAGGAGGACGGTGCTGAAGTTCATCGCAGCCGGGACAGGCAGTAAGGAGGTCTCTGTGCTCAGCGCTGCAACTGCACACATTGCTGCCTAAGCTGAACCTCAGGAAGATGGTCTAGCACCAATCACACACACTACCCAGGGCACGTGGAGATGTACTTGCAATGGGCTTACATCTGTTTAGCAAGGACATCACAGGGGTCGTGCCCTCCCCAAGACCAGTCCCACCCTCTCCGCCTTGCCATCCTTTTGGAGGACACCACCAGAGAGACAACAGGAGCTACTGCATGAAGCACTCCCTTCCCAGGAGAGACTGAGGAGCACTGCTGTCCTCCAGAGTGAGGAGAGGAGGTGGAAGTCCCCCCCGCCCCCCCAAATCCATCCCTATGGGATACGGCACAGTAGTGAGCCCTGCTTCATTTTCCTCTTTGTAGCCAATTTATGCTGATAGGGAAACAAAAACATTCCTTCATCAGAAGAATGTTCAATTACTTGAATAATCAGCACTCAAAAATTTACATGGACCTGTTAATAAAAAGTTTAAACAAATCCAGTTGCGATGGATTTCTCAATTATTAAAAAATATACATGAAATTAAAAAAGCCAACCACTGAATAAAAGCGATAAAATCCTTTGTGTTCACCCCCCTCCTTCTCCACTCCCTTTCCTCCTTCCAGTTTAATGTAAGAGGAGAAGTGACAATTTGTTTGGTGTCTTTAAAGAATAATTCGTCTATGTTATTTAATAGAGATCCATGGCACCAAGGTTCTGGAGTGCAAATGAGCCTGCTGACTGATATCCATGCAACAAGCCTCTCAAATCACTTCTGGAGAGAAACAGAGAGAGGGAGAGAGAATAAAAAAAATATTGCTTTTTAATATTCAAAAACAGTTTGCAAAATTTAATCAAAGCAGAGCAAAAGCTAACATTTTTACCACTTTGACATTTTTATTAGCGCTTTCATAAATTTTTAAAACATGAATGGAATTAGTTTAACAACAAAAAAAACTGCCTGAAAACATCTGGAAGAGACAAATAAGAAACAACAAAAAATAAAATAAAAAAAAAAATCCAACTCCTGTGAGTAAAATTAGCATGTGGAAAATGCAGCCGCTGCAGAGGAACTAATACAGTTTTTGGACCCTGGCTACAACCCTCATGACCCACAGGTGGAAATTATCGTGAGGTCATACATATGAGTTGATGACATCACCACCCCAGCAGGCAGAGGGAAGGCAAGAAGCTGGGTGGGTAACTGGAAACAACAAATAATTTAAATAGCCAGGAGAAACACCCAATTTCTATGGTGGACAGAGCCCACGGTCACAGCAAAGCAACTCCCCAGAGCAGCCGGCACACAGCCCAGCCCAGGGCACATGGGGAGCACGTGCCGCCAAGATGGAAAGTTAAAAAAAAATTTTAAATGAAGTAAAGTGTTAACAGTGCTGAAGTGCCCAGGTGTAGACACCGAACAGTAAAGCTGCAGAGGACACAGGGCTTAACCACTTCCCCATGGTCAGCTATGCCACACTCTGCACATGCCATGCAGGCTAAGGCAGAGTGGAGGCTGGGCACATCCTTCCCCACGGCTGTACCATCCCATTGGGAATCACCAAGTTTCCCCTGCAAAGAGACAAAACTTGACCCGTGGGCTGGCAAGGAAGGAGGACACAGAGGCAAAACACCTGAGCATCGCCCGGATTGCCTGTTGTGGTGCAGCCAAACTCACCAGCTTCAGCCACCCAGGAGGACCCGTGGAAACACAAGAAACTCAATCTGATCCTCCCTTCAAAAGAGCTATCACAGATAGGCTCTGAAAGCAGCAAATTTCTGTTCAGAAGGAAAACAGACTGCAAAGTTTGAAGCCAACAGACAGGACATCATAACAGAGCCAGGCTTAACCCCAGGATAATACCATCCTATCCTTCAAACCAGGCTGGGGCGGCTCGTTGCCCCTTAGATCTGCATCCCACCCAGGGGGTGACCGTGGAAGTGGGCAAGACCACAGCACAGCAGAACAAATGTTCCCCCTCTCGGAGAGGGACATGCACTGGCTGGATTTCACAGCAGGGCTGCATTGCAATGCAGAGATCAGTCCTAAGGGACCAGAAGCATCCTCAGGGGCCATCAAGTGGCTGGATGTAAAGTGAGACTGAAAGACAGCCCTGCCACTGATCTGATACACAAAGGCATTGGTCGCCTTCCAGAACCAAAGGCAAAAAGCGCTTCCAGGAGGGTCGGATTAAGACAGACGGAGGAAATAAAAAGCCATACTAAAAAAATGTGGAAAATTTAACAATATCCAGAATTACTGCAGGTCTGTGGGAAGCACGTGGCCAGGAGTAGGGGTGCAACCCCAGGAGTGACTCGAGTGTCTTGGTAGAAAGTGCAGCCGCTCTTCTGGGCTTATTTGGTCAATTTTTGAAGCAAGTGGTAAAGGACCTTTCCCAAAAGGCTGTTTATCTGCACGCTTCCTATAGCGGAGATTTTTCCAGTCTCTGGCAGTGTTTGCTCCACTGGTATCTAAGGCAACAGATACCAGCCCCATGAAATCAGCCCCACTCCTCACTAATGACGTTAGCCAGTCCTGCAATGAAATTTAACCTGTGACACTGCTGTACTTTTCATTTAAACTTTCATTTGGAGAGAAGCAGTGTTTGGAGACCCTGCAGTTTGTCCTGCTAATAAAGACAAGTGTTGGGACCTTTAAAGGTGCCATTCATCTTTTGCCTTTATTAAATTCAATTTTCTTAAGCCCACAATACATCATGAAATTAAGAGTTGACATTCCTACAGAAACAAAAATATCTATCAAACATAAACAGATGGGGGGGGGAAGAGGTCTCTATTACCAAGAATTTATGGCTTAAAGTTGATCTGTTTTCACTTTTTTCTCTTTTTTTTTTTTTAATAGGCATATGGTTTGGTTTAGATATCCAAAATGTTATTACAGATCTAGAATTTCATTAGTAATTATTATGAAATGGTGAGCACTTAAGACGCACACACACACAACCCCCCAACAGACCGTGACACAGTAAGGCAGCCGGGTGCTCTCTCACGTTTCACAGCAGCCCCGTGAGCTCAGCTCCCTCTCCATCGACAAGGACCTTTGCTGCTTTTTCCCAGGTGGGAAAGGTGGAGGAGAAGCAGCACAAGGGAATTAAATGGAGAGGTTCACTGACACTTCTTTTCTTTTAGCAGAATCTGATCATCCATGAGCGTTACCTTGAGATCCTCACCCATTTCTACTTCCAACACTGAGTACACGTTCCAACTTCAGTAGTGATTTGTGCCAGCAGCATTTGGGGCTTCCAAGTCTTCCACCCCCTCCCCTCTTTTCCTTATAGCACAACCAGAAGTTATGGATGTGCTGAAATAATGCTGAGGATGTCCAGAGGCTGCAAATAGCCACAAGCTACCAGAAGAACAAATGTACCCATTTGAATTTTGCAAGCACTGCAATTAGGTATTTTATTTAGCACTGCAAAGTAACTTGAAAGGAAATTCAGGATTCAAACCACCAGCAATAAATAAGCAGCTTTTTATTTTCCTTTCATTGTCATGAAAAGTTGAACATGTTTTCTGTTGAGAAATTCTGCACGCAGCTCCCAATTACAGGCATTTGCATTTATATTGTTGGAACACAGAGCTTCTAAAATCAATATTAACACGCTTAAAGAAAAAGACATCGGCACCCTGTCCCTTCCCTCAGCTGTGCCCCCAAACACTGTAACAATAGGAACCTACAGAGCCGGAGGCTCACACATATCCATTACCAGGTCTGCTCTCTTTACAACAATCTTGCATTTATGATTTCACAGTACTTCAAGCAAATCTATGTGACAGCTTGCTCAGAATTTTTGCCTTTTTTAAAAAAAAAAAAAAAAAATCCCCCAAAATACTGGTCCCAGGTGGATGCCTCCCATGCGACCTGACTGTCCCAGGCCAGTGGGCTGAGCAGCAGCAGGAGGCTGCAGGGTAACTGCAGAATGGCCAGGGACTTCCTTTTAAGAGGGATTTGAAAAATTCATAAGGGCATGCGAAAGCACTGCTATAAACCCACCCTTTCCTTACCCAACCGTCCTAAATGAAACTCCCCTCCCTTTAACATTGGAGCAGGGATGCACAAATTCAGCTGTCTTGATCTTCTTGCTAATAAAAGAAATGAACAAGCACACAACTATACTTGCTAAATAAATTTCTGTAACAGATAGATCTCTGGAGTTCAGAGAAGAAAGCACCTGAAGTTACATTAATTCCCACAGAGGAATATTTTTGCTTATCCTTTTGGATCTGGAGAGCACTAACATCATTAGACAAAAAGATGACAGTGCCCAGCAAGAACTTCCTGGCTCTCAAAACCTTTTAATCCAGAAGTCCACATACAAAGTGGACCAGGCACACTTCAGGACACTGAGTTATATATTTGAAGACCACCACGTGGCTTATTCAGTTCAAAAACTACCAGAGAATAATTTATCCCTTACTCCCACCCCCATGTGAAGAAGTTTATAATAAACACAAGAATAAAAGATGCCCATAAAAATCAGAGCTGACTGTTCAAAATGCAATAAAAACAAGCAGAGGCCGTTGAGAGAAAGGGATTTCTTCTGATATGGAAAAGCATAAAACTTCTTACCAAGAGATCCTTTTACACCTTCAAAAAAAAGTAAGGGCTGAAGAGGCAAGGGAGTCTCTGTGGAGGGACACAGCATCAGCTCATTTTGTTCAGGGATGCTTTTTCCCCCCCTTCTTTAAAGAAAAAAAAAAGTCATTTTATGCACAAGGAGCTTATTTCTTAAACAAACAC